ACGCTGCGCCTCTGCTGCGGCTACTAGGCCCCATTCGGTTGGGCCTCTCAACTGTCTGTGTATGAGGCTGCGATTCTTGCCCAGGGTCTGCACTTCCGGAAGGGCCAGGAAGGCCGTGGAATTTTCTTGCTGCTCGGCCTGTGTTTCCTTCAACCAACTGGCGCGTCGCAACTGTCTGGACCCCAAATACGAAATTGACAGCGGAGGGCCTCTTGTGTTTTGTGTGGCCCGCCTTCACTTAGGGCGGGCACATATGCAACAGGGGCCCTTCAGGCCTGCCGAGGACCCAGATCCTCACATTATTATTCTTTTCCATATTTTATTTTTATTTCAAATTTGGTAAATAATGTGGATGTAAGGCTGAGGCAAATGTTGTTCAGATTATTTTTCTGCATTTTTTTTTATTTTTTTTTCAGATCTTTTTTTTTTGTGTGTGTCCTCGTTCGGCCCAAACGGTCGAACACATCTACAGGGGGCCGGAACGTTCGGGCATTCGGGTTTGGGCGTTCAGCCCGGGCCGAACGCCAGCTACCATGGCTTGGAGAAGTCCTTGCATTTCCGGGCCAAGAAAAAGAGGCCATTGTTGAACCATGTGAGTGTGGGGTTGATTTCTGCCCGTTTCTGAGCCATCTGGCGAAACCAAGACTCTTGCCCCGCGGAAGAGACATGACCCATCTTGCTCCATAATGTCTTTCCACTTGAGACCATACCGAGCAGGAGGGCGCGAAGACGTCTTCCACAATAGAATGTCATCAATGAATCGATGTGTGAATGCACGTGCTTGCACTGCGTGCAGATCTCGACAGCGAAGGTCGTCGATGAACTGTGCTTCGTCCCCTCTTCCTGACGCAATTGAGATACGTGATAGAGAGTGACATTGGGCAATTTCTGGTCTAGTATTAGAGCATTTCGGTATACCCACCACCTGATGGCGCAGCAGAGTGCCATCCATTATATCAAGGTAAGTATTAGAGATCACAGCCGCAGATGCTGCTCAATTTCCGACACTGAAAGGGTGTCCGAGCCATGCCAAGTACCCCGCTCCCCGTGGTGAGGACCTCCAACAGTCATGCACATTTGTGCTCGCCTTCTACCCTGTGGAATAAGTGCCAAAGCATAATCATGTGCTTCATGAACGACATTTAGGACATCGTTAAGAATCCTGTCGTGCGGCAGGTTACTTTGTACTCGCCTTCTACCCTGTGGAATAAGTGCCACAGCATAATCATGTGCTTCATGAACAACATTTAGGACATTCTTAAGCAAGTTACTATTCATTGCTGTAAAATCTGCTGTGTGTGCCTCGAAGGGAATGTGCATTTTGCTTGAGATCCAAAATGACTTTCTCAGCATTTTGCACGATCCAGCAACATCATAAACCACTTTCTTGATAAAGCTCATTATCCTTACTGTGGATAGACCTGATCACGCATTGGAGAGCATAGCTAAGTGAGCGGGAGGCCATTGTTGTCCTTGTGAGAGGCTTATGGGGGGGCTTATTATGCAGATCTGAGGCTGAAGTTCGGCGACTTGTTGGATGGGACGAAGAGCAGGTGGAGATTTGTGTGCTTAAGGTGCGAAGTACAGATAAGGAAGGGTGTTAGTGTCGCGGTGGCCATAGCGTCGATCGAAGACTGCATGGCGTTTGAGAATGCTGGCAACAAACTCCGGTGCGTGACTGTATGAAGGACTTTCAAGATGTTGTGATAGCCTGTCTGTGTACCAGCATATTAATTTATTTAATATTTTTTCCTGGAAAGATCACAACAAAATCTACGAGCACTGCAATTTTCAGATTTTTCACGCATTCTTCTGAGCACGAAAAATTACTGAAGTTGGAGTACGTCTTCTGTTTGCCCACTCATGGTTGAGTGGCAAAAATGGAAATGGCGCGACGATTATTTTGCGGTCTTAATGATTTTTTGAAAATTTTCTGATATTTTCCCTGGCAAAAAACAGAAACTAATCTATGGATTCTCAAATTTTCAGATTTTTCTGCAAATTCCTCCAAGCACAAAAAATCGCCGAAGTTGCCTCTTGCTAATTGCGGGACTGGACCCACCAGTACCACCCACCGGTACCCTCCACCTTGGACAGCCTGCACATGGGACTCCCGACAACACCTCCCCTTCTTACTTCTTTTTGGGGTCTGCTTCCACCTGACGACAAGTCGTTCCTTTTTCAAAAGTCCCAGTTCTACGAGGGCTAGCTCTAGGTTGTCCGCAATATCGCCAAGGACCGGTCCCCCAAAAACTTTTGCCCCCTAAGAACCCACTTGCTTCCTGGTCGCCCGTTGCCGACAATGCGACACCTTGACACAGACACTAAAAGCCCACTGTACCGCAGCCTTAGGGCTGCGAATATAGCTTGCCATTCTGAATTGGC